CTGCCTAATCAGTGGGTACCCTCCTGCACACACTCAGTAGCTATAAGTGCATGCACAAGGGATCACCAGGGATAGGCAAGGTCACAAGGGATAGCTAAGTTAGTCTGATTGAACCCCAGCAGCTAGATCAGGATTGCCTTCACAGATTAGGAAAATGAAGAGATAACTCCAATTAGAGCCAGCAGCAGAGCTTTAAAGAACTCTAAGTCCTAATACCCATGTTCTCTTCTAAGCACTAGACACATAGTGTTGTATAGATAAATGGCTGAGCCACTATAAAAAAGCAAGGGGAATGTGTTCTATGGCAGAAAACATATGTCTGGATAATTAGTGCCATTGTGCTTGAATAGTGCTGTATGTGCTCTTTGTTCCTCTATGCCACTGTAATTTTTTTTTGAGGAATGTAGAAGGTACAGTTTAAATTAATATAACCTGCTTGCACTACTAGGAAGAATTAAGTTCTACTTCTTTCATGCCATTTCTCAAGGTATGCTTCTAATCCCTTTGGGTTATTAAAATTAAATTCTAAGCTACGGTTGCAGTGAACTCCTTTAACATAAGATAAAGCACTCTACCTGAACATAGACATGGACACTGAACACAGACAATGCGAAAACTGAATGTGCTCAGACTGAATATAAAAATGCACTGTCCCTGGGAATTCCCTGAGTTGTCCTGCATTTTCCAGAAAAACTAGTAAGGTGGATTCCCATGGTTTTTGGGGGTTATTTTTTGAGAATCTAGCAGCAACTTTCCAGCTAAGTATTACACTTTTTAGCAGTTATGACTGACCTGAAACAAATACCACTTAACAATGAAAAAGCCATCCAGACCTACACCCTCGAAAAAACTTGAAGGATCCAAAATATTTGGTCAGATAACTGTTACTGGAATTAATATTTTTAAAAGGTTAGATTTTCAGCATGTGCCAGTTCAATAACCTGTATTTCCAAGCTTAAGAAGCCAGAGATCATAATAAAAAAGCATTCCATACACTGAACTACTGAACACAACTAACTATGTCCCTAGCTAAGAAAGCACTAAGTGAGGTACAGATTAGGTATTACTGTGAACTACTTCTTGGGTTTTTTTAATGTTGAAAATATATCGTTTCTTCAGTGTGTTACCACTCCCCCTTTCTGCTTCATTTTTTGTGAAATGTTTAAAATGTATAAATGTGAAAATGTGTAAAATTCAGCCTCTTCTACTTCAGTGAATGTATCTGTCTCCCCCACTGTGATAGCATTAATACATTCCCCCTTTTTTTTTAATACAAGCTCTCCTTTGAAACCACTCTCTTATTTTAGCTTAGATTTAAATAGCAACTAATGAGCATGTGTACTCCTTTGCATGCTGTTTTTGAGCACCTAATGATGTTTCATCTAACTCTAAGGGTAGGGGACACACAAAGGCCCCAAGGTAAGCTGGTCTGTGAACCTGCAGCATGTGAACTATTCTGAAGTAACTTTCAATGTGAACACTCTTACATGGTAAATGCAAGGAAGCTAACCCTAGCTTACCTCAAAGAAATGTGTTTATGTCCCTATAACCTAAGTTGAGGAAAAATAGATTTTTAGGTCAATTTGGTGTGGAATTAACACAACACCTCACTGTTTTTAGAGACAAATGGAATTTTACAGTAGCATTAGTCCAGCATCCCCATACAGAATGTTGGTACTATTCTATGTTGATTATTAAAATACCATGCAAAAGCAGGGAAAGGCTTAATTTTTTCTTGTTAACCTTGGTTTGAGTCAATGAGTCAATGTTATGCTAGAGGTTGAGTGGCTTCAGGCAAACATGTCATTGATTGATGAGCTATTTCAACCTTGGCTGATACATACCCTAGATCTGCAGTTTTCAATCTTTTAAACTCAAGTCACCCCTCCTTTGACTCAAGGCAACCCTCCATAACTTTTGTGAATTGCATTTCAAAAACTAATTTATTTATTATAGGGCAGGTTGAGGAATGGAGGTAGGGAAGTGGCCAGGTAAAGGTGAGCATGAGTGTACACTTGTTCTCTTCACACTTGCTTATCTCCTCACACCTCATAGCACCCTTGAAAACCCAATCCTGGCACCCTTCCTTGTAACAGAGAATTACACTTGCCCTGTTACTATGAGAAAGCTGGGGAGGAAACAGAACTGGCAAGGGCCCTCAAAAAGCAGGATTTTTGTGACTCAGGGGGATGAAGACTCAAGGGTGGAAAAGACAGCTGCAAGGACCAGCAAAGAAAAACCGCGGATGGCAAGCAGCAAAACAAAGAAGAAGCAAGCTCCCTGCAATCACCATTAAACCTGGCCTGTGCAGGGGCTGAATTAAGAAGGGATTGTAGCCAAAAAGCAGGCAGCTGGCAGGACTGCAGAGACTAATCAGCAACCCCTGTGCTCAGGCTGGATGATAGGTCTGGCTGGCTGGAAAGGAAGGAGCTTAGAGGGGAATAAAAGGCTTGTCCTCAGGTTAGAGAAGGTATTCTGATCCTGGCTGAGAAATAGTTAAAGCTTCCAGATAGACTATAGTGGTACCTGGAGGTACAGTACAGGGGGCCTCGATGGGTAAGGTCTAAGAGGTTTTCTTTGTTTTTATTTTTTCCTCTTCAATATTTTTCCCCTGAGTGGACCAAAGAAGGTTGAGGATTTAAGTTCACATGCATTTTGGTTGTGAATACCTGGAGGAGTGATGGTTTTTGTCGGATTTAAGCTAGCAAACACTGGATGACCAAGAGCAGCTGTAAAAAGAGGAGGCCACGTTGTAGGTGCCATAAAGCACACTGCGAGTTTAACCCCCTACATGCAGAAAGGCCATAAAGAACTTAACCCCTGTGAGGGCCGGGGAAGTCTAGAACCTAGACTGTCAGGCTTAGTCCCAGCTGTACAGTTACTGTTGAGAAGCCAAGGCTAGAATAAGTGGAGGAGGGCCAGGCTAGTCAACTACTGGGTGTTACTACTGTTTGGAAGGTCTAGTCCTGTCATGGCCTCTTTGCTTAGAATGGCCAAAACCATAGGAAAGAAAAGTAGTTAGCCATATTTAGGCTGGAGTCAGGCAAAAGGCAGGGTAGATTAGCACTATATAAACTAGCTACATGAGGGATGCATGGCATAAGCAGTCGCTCTTGAAATGAACTGTTTATGAAAGCTTATGTTCTGCACCTCTGACTTAGTCTATAAGGTGTAAACTCACTCTGATTTCTGCAAAACAATAGAAGCCCCTGCACATGCACTGGATAGCATTCCAGGCTAGCTGTGTAGGCTGACTGACTTGAAAGAAGGTCAGGAGTCAGCAGAAGCATTGATGGTTGACCTTGAAACAAAGAAAAAAAATGAATCTCATCAGCCTAGTGCTACTTGGAAAGATACTCATTTCATCCCACCATGTTCAGGAAAATGGGACACATTGGGGAAGGGGGACATGCCCCCTGAGACTAGCCACTGCCAAAGCTGCCACAGGCTTCTGTAGGTCATTGCTGCCCCTCCCCTCGCTGCTCACATGGCTGCAGGAGGTCACCACTTGCTGCTGCTGCCAGTGCAGATGGTGGCTGTGGGCAGTCATGGCTCACCACTGCTAACAGAGCAAACAGCAGCTCCCCACTTGTGCCCCCCCCCAAAAAAAAAACACAAACCCTCCCCACCAGTGGCAGCAGGGGAAGGAATTACAGTCCTATGTAACTAACCCCCACATCTCCCTCCCTTGGAGGAAAAAAACTATTCACAGTAAGGATATTGATCCAAATAAAGGGATTTTATTTTACTTCCAATGCAATGAAAGGTACTTTTTTTTTTTTTTTTTTTACCATAGTGCAGCATAGGGAGATTTTGCTCCCAGAAATAAGTTCACGGTACAGGAAGGTAACACCATGTAGTGATGATACTCCGGCTGCAAAAGTTAGAACAGCAGCAAGTGTAATAACAACTCTGTGCTGAAAGCAGATGTTGAACAGAAGTATGTAAGAACAAAGACAGAAAGGTCAATGGGGTCGCTTTCAAAATCAGATGCTGGAAACGGCCTGGTGTTTATTTACCATGGAGGTGCAGGTTTGTGACTAAGAAGTGGTTTCCATTTAGTCCCTGGGCAGGTGAAGATTTCACCTGCACTCGTACCCCATCCACGAGGTGAGAGCCCTGACTCTGCACAGACGGGGCACACTCAACCCCCAGGAAAGGTACCGCTGTAAGTGCCAGGTATCCTTCCCCGTCCTTTCGCTGACAGGGGGGAACGGCGCTGCTTACGAGCCGCTGCGTCCAAGCAGGAAGGAAGACTACGTGGGTGACGGGGGCAGTGGCCTGGCCGTGGGAAACGGGCTCATTCCGCCCTTCCCCGGGAGACGCAGTGAGTACAAGTGACTTCCCACCCCCCGAAGCGTGGCCGAGCGTGCCTGCGCAGACGGCCAAGGCCGCCCTGCCGCATGTCCCAGGAACCACCGGGCGCCCAGGCCCCACCGCCTCAGCCCGCGGGCAGCCAATGAGCGAGCACCGACCCTGCCGGGCGAGCGATAGCTTTAGCCACCAGCTAATCGAAAAGATTCGGACGCCGAGAAGGCGGGCACAAGCAGGGCAGACCGGCCTAAACCGCAGTCTCGTCCCTCCTCTACCGTTCCGAGGTTGGTCTGCGGCTGGGGTAGGCGGGAACTCGTCCTCCTTCCGCCCAATGAGAAGTCAGCATTGAATGACGGGCGTCTGAATGAGCCCGTTATCAGCGGCGCGGTGCTTTCCACCCCTCTCTGCAAAATGGCGGCGGTGGCTCCGGCGGCAGATGCGGCTGCTACCCCAGCTTCAGTCCTAGCCGTGGCCCCATTGCCCGCTCCGTCAGCCCCGGCAGCCGCCCCGGCGGTAGCGGCGCCAGCAGGAGGCGCCGCCCCTGTGGCGGCAGCCCCGGTGGCAGCACTGCCCGCACCGCCCCCGC